CCCCCCCCCCCCCCTCCCAAGAGAAAAAAAAGCAGTTTTTGGTGTCTTTTGAGAAGTTAAAAGATAGCTTTGAAAAACAAAAACTAAAAGAAAAGTTATGTCTATCATAAAGCATTGTTTTTAAAGCTTGTTGAATCACGCGATTGTGTTTGATGAACTTCTAATACAAGTGTTCTCTCTCTCATCCCCTTGCTGTCCAAGTTTTCCATTTCTAATCTATCGTTACCACCACATTACTAACAATCTCTAGACTTGGTCTTAACCTTAGGTGCCGTTGCCATTGCTCTTTCGCGCACTCTTTCTTGTCCCCCCTATAAGTATTCCATTGCTGGTATTTTGCATCAATTGTTGGTACAGCAGGCTGCTTGTTTTAAAAATGTCAAGTCTTAACCTTGATTGTCCCACCTCATGAGTTTCCTTTCTCTGTGGCTGGTGCAATACTAATATGAATATTTTCTATTCAGCAGTATGCTCTATAGCGATATTAGTTAGGATATATGCTGAAATTCAGCTTATATGATTGTAGGAGTTTAGATGGACACTAAATTGTCTTGAACAGGTGAATTGCAACTTTACTTTTTCTTGGGATGGCGCTCCTAATGTTTTTTGAATCATAGCAGTGTTACTAGATGTTGGATTGGCTATTGACAATTGTGTGATAATCAAGCAAGTAATTTCTGTTGCTAACCTTAATTTGATATGATCATATGCAGTATCTATAATCATGTACAGGAGTTTATCAAAAGATTGTACCGTACATGCCAAAGATCAAGGCAGGAAGACTCCAGAGACAGTGGAAAAACTACCCTGACACTGAATTTGGTGAGATCTCTCAAATTGAGTATTATGCTATTCTTGCTTTGTGACTTTTCAGAGTTCTTGTTCCATGCTGATTTGGTATTTATTTCAGAAGGTTGGTGGTGATTGAGAAAAACTATCTAATTGAATGGTTTTAAAATGGGATTGTTTAAAATTGCATAAAACAAATAATAACATGTTGCTTCTCATAGCATTGCTTCATGTTATTGTGTTGGTTTGTTAAAGAAATTAAAGTAAGATCTTTATTTTGGACATTCAAAACACTATTTGTGGAATATTTTTGCTTTTCTATTTTGTCCAAATGTATTTGATCGCATTGCTTGGTACTTTTATGTTGCTTTTGTGTGGAAAGAAACTATCATTGAAAACATTTGTTAATCCTTTCGCTTTACCTATGGACATCAATTTGCAGGCCGAAGGAAAGAAGAACGTTTGATCGTATCATGTCTTTACAGAGACAGCTCTCTCTGTATTGGAAAACAAAATTGACAACTTTGACAAACCTAACATCAACACGTCATTTTCAGCAAAGCCAATACGATTACCCATGACAATTTTAAGATTCTTTTCTTAACAAATTTTTTGACTTAAGGTTAAATTACTCTTGGGTCTTTCTTTTGATTTAATTCGATCAACTTGGTACCTCTAATAGTAAAAGGTCTAATTTGGTAATTTAATTTTTAATAATGATGTAATGTGATCATTTCCATCCATTGAAGCTAATGACATTAATTTATTGCACATGTGGTGCAATAAAAAATGATACGAATCACCATGTATACAAAAATTTAATGTCATCAGCCTTAATTGAATGGAAAGAACATTGTATCGTTTTAAAAATTAAGGGATTAAATTAAGCCTTTTACTAATAGAGGAATCAAATTGAACTAATTAAATAAAATGACAGATAAAAGAGTAACTTGACCTTGATTTTCACCTTTTCCCCTCTTTAACTACTTTCTTATGAGTTTTATAGTCCAAGTTTTAGAATGTACATATAGTATGTATAGGACGCATGTAAAGTTTCTTAATGTATATTTTTATAGCTCTTCACTGTATATTAAAAATGGGACAATTGTAAAATGCACGAGTTTTGTACAGTTTACATCCACAAATTATAAAATCAATTAGAAGCTTGATTGCATTTTAGTATCTGAACTTCTTCATATAGGCAATATTCTGATGGAGTGTTTTGCTGTTTAAAATAATCTTATTAGATTCGAATAAGATTGCCGTTAGTTGAAGATATATATGATCTATACTAAAAAAAAGGGGTGATTTTTGTCTTTCTAATTTTATATGCTCACATTTGTTAATCCCCATATTTTCTTAGTCTTACAAATTAAATTTCTTCTCTTCAAAATTTCATTGCTTTTAGTTTCCATAATGATTAAAAGAAATGTAATCTTTTTATCATTGATTTGCATAGATTCAAAGAGGAAAATTATCTGAAATAAAATAGTAAAAATACATTTGGTTAATATGCCATCTTTCTATTACATTTATGTTAATTAGAATAAAAAATACATTCCATGTATTTGTGTGCTTTTCTAAAAATAAAATAAAACTGAACAACTAACAATGACAGGATGAGTAGTATTTTAGTAGTTGTAATTGTAAAAGTAGATTTTAAGGAGTTTTGAAAAGTAATAAATAATAATAATAATAATAATAATAATAATCAAATAAAAAAAATGGTAGAGAGAGAAAGAGTAATTTAAGAAATAGTTAGATACAAAATTATTCAAGAAATGTGTATATGAAATAGACAATCTCTTCTATTATTAGTATAGACATAGACTAACTATTTCTATTTCATAAAATTGAGTCCATATTGTAGAGGGAAATTCTTAATTACTCGTTGTACTTGGTTAATATTTTATATCCATTTTTTAAAAAAAAATCTATAAATTAAAATAGGACTAGCTTCTAAGATATTCACTCTACTTTTTCTCACAATCAAATAATTGTGAACTACAAACGTTAACTATGTGACTAAAAAAGCATCTCAACTTTCTAATTTTAATTTCCTCATCCTTGTATATCTCCCTTTTATTAATGACCAAGTATTGCAATTGCTACAACATTGCAAAACATATATTATCTTTGAATATTACTATCTTTGAATATTTCTCTTCTTCTCTTAATATATATATAACTACGAATATTGCCTTCTTTTCCAAATACTTCCTGGTGAGAATGAACATGCTTGCTTCAATGATGCCTTTTAGTAGAGCTAACCACCACCCAAATCACTGCCCTCAAAAGATGCAATATTTGTGAAGTTGCATGGAAAAAAGTAAAGCTATTTTGTTTTGCGTGATTGGCTAACAACAATATGGAAGTTACCAAGTGATTTCGGAATGGTGGATGTGGGGTTTGGATTTTACTTAATGAAATTCGAGATGCCACAAGATAAGGAGAAGGTCATTAGTGGTGGCCCATGGATGGTTTTTGATGACATCATGTCAAGGAGTCAAATCTAAAAAGAATCAAGAGGAGTGAATTAGACTTGAATGAAGAAGGTTCAAACTCTTATTGAGCTTTGAATCAGTTTTAGTAGTATATTTTTTCTTCTTTGTGAATATTTTTTCTTATAAATATTTTCTTAATTTTGACCTTTTAATTTTTGGTCAAATAGTTTAGGAATTTATTTACTTGTAATTTTATTTTAGGGGTGTAAATAATATTTTAGGAGGGGTGTACCCTTGTGCAACCATTCTTACTTTGTTTCTCATCACTTCTCCTTTCTCTTTCAGTTTGTTCTTGTTGGAACCCGAAAAATTCTGATGTTGGCTAACAGATGGTTTAAACCTCCATTTTAAAAAGACTCATCAGCTTTTGATTTCCCGAAGATCGGACTAATCCTCCTTCTGATGGTTTTGAAAATGGTTCAAAAGAGTCGTCACCGATATTTTACACAAAACATAGGAAAAAGAAATCTGTTTTCACAAACTCGACTTTGGCCTTCACAGCCAAAGTCATGTTTGGGGATCAGTTACATATGGGGAAAGTGTTAGGCACTATCGGAACCTAAAAAATGTCAATCTTACCCACAGATGGTTTTGACTTCCATTTGAAAATCTCATCGGTTAAGGAATGTCCGAAGCTCAGACTAATCCTTTACCAATGTTTTTTTTTTGAAAAAGGTTCTTAGGAGTCATCATCGACATTTTACTCAAAACGTCAAGAAAAAGAAAGAGATTTTTGAAAATTAATAATGGTCTTCATAGCCAGAATTAGGTTCAGGGTTGGTTACATGTGGGGAAGGTATTAGGCATCCCACAATGCCCTAATTCAGTACCCTATTATGAGTTTAGCATAATAATGGAAAATAATTAAATATTTACCCTTTTTATTAGTCATTTACATGCCTAATGTCTACATGATTACTAATTATCTTATGGAAATAATATTATGGATAAAATAGTTAAATAAATAAGAAGAGAGATAGAGAGAATTGATAGAAATACCTCTAAAGCAAGCTTTATAAAAGAAAGATTTCAAATCCTCTTACAAAGACGCGTTTTGATAGCCTTTTTCTCTATAGAAGCCTCATAAACACTCAAGAAAAACTAGAGAGAGAAGAGAGAATTTCTACTAGGACAAGGTCAATTAAGTAGTGTGTGTCGAAGCACTTGCCCAAAAAATGCTTAAATAGGCTCCTGAGATGTGGAATGGCTATTCCCAAGCTTAGAACGACCATTTTGGCCCATGAATTTACACATAAAATGGACCTTCGGAATGACTTGTTCCCAACTAGGGTTATAGGCCATTTTTTGTTGGGAACGATTGTTCTAGGTTCAGGAATGACCATTCCAAGCTTGAAACTAGGGTTTCAAGGTTCTTGGGCCTTCTAGTGTTTTCCTTGTCCATTTAAGTGCTCTATTGGGCTCTCGAGGGCTACTCGTGTCATCCTAGTGATGTCTTAACCTTGGTAAGGGTAACCCAGACAAAATCTGGTGTCTATATCTGCCCCTCTTTTCTTGACCTTTGGATGACAGGATGTTACTTTTCCAAAGATGAGTAAAGACGTAGACATTTCATTTGGATCTTCTCTTCGTGTCTTCATATGATTGTTCCATGTTGCTTCATTTTGTTAGATAAGTTTGCCTACATCCTTGCTTTTTGGATAGTAGAATGTTGGGGTTGTGTTCTCCAAAGATGAGCGAGGATGGCAAAGTGTACATTTCTGAACATTTGGCTTCTTGTGGACACTCTATGTGAATGCTTCATGTTGCTTCCTCTGCGTGGTGGTAGTGAGGTGAAGATTTCTTCCAAGTCTGCTGTGGGAGTGAGTTTATTCTGAACTCAGCCTCTCCAGGTGGGATTGGTATTAGGGCTTCCAATCGACCTTTGTGGGGTGAATAATTTTTAGGTAACCTCTCCAAGCCAAGGGTGAGTATCTTTTAGGTGACCTCTCCAAGTCGAGGGTGAGTATTTTTTAGGTGACCTCTCCAGGCCGACGAGTGTTGCTTGCTATAACCTCTCTAAGTCGACGATAAGTATTTTTTAGGTGACCTCTCCAAGATGATGAGTATTGTTTGCTATAACCTCTCAAGGTCGATGGTGAGTATTTTTTAGGTGACCTCTGTAGGCCGATGAGTACTGCTTGCTGTAACCTCTTTAGGTTGATGGTGAGTATTCTTGAGGTGGCATCTCCAAGCTGATGAGTACTGCTTATTGTAACCTCTCTAAGTTAATGAGTCGGTAAGTTCCCTTGTGTCGGTGGGCAAGGGATCATCCTCTTCGCAAGATGATGATGGTGAGTATTCTTTGTAGCCTCTCTAGGTCGATGGTTATATATGATTTGTTGAAAGTGCCCCTATGTTGGTGGGTGAAAGATCATCCTTTTTGTAGGATGATGTGGTGAGTATTCTTTGCAACCTCTCCAAGTTGATGAGTATTGCTTGCTATAACCTCTCCAGGTCAATGGTGAGTATTTTTAGGTGACCTCTCCAGGCCGATGAGTACTACTTGCTATAACCTCTCCAAGTCAATGAGTCAGTAAGTGCCCTTGTGCTGGCGAGCAAAGGATCATCCTCTTTGTAGGATGATGATGGTAAGTATTCTTTGTAGCCTCTCCTGGCCGATGGTTGTATATGATTTTTTTGAAAGTGCCTTTATGTTGGTGGGCGAAGGATCATCCTCTTTGTAGGATGATGTGGTGAGTATTCTTTGCAGCCTCTCCAGGCTGATGAGTACTACTTGTTATAACCTCTCCAGGTTGATGGTGAGTATTTTTAGGTGACTTCTCCAAGCTGATGGATCGATAAGTGCCCTAGTGCCAAGGGGAAAATGAGTATTTTCTTGTAGAAGGATTGTAGCTTGTGATCTTGTGTGTTCTTCGTTTGAGGAGTTTGTTGGTAGAGTTCTTTGATTGCTTGAGAATTGATGTAGAGTACCCTTGAGAGGGATCGTGGCTTGGGATCCCATTTTTCTTTGCATGAGTGAGTTTGTAGGAATGGAGTCTAGTTTCTTTGATTGAGAAGGATCATGGCCTAGGGACCCTATACCTCCCTTTTGGGAAAATGATGGAAAATGGAGCCTGCTAGTGATGTGTTTGGTATTGCCCTTTTTGCTTTTTATTCAGATTATGTCAATTGAGACTTGTGTTGTCCTTGTTGCGTGAGTATTGTGAAGCCTCTCTAGGCCTGTGCTGTCGGGATTTCTTGATCTTGGATGTCATTCGCTGAAGTGGATGTCTTGGATTTTCTATCGTGGTCTTCAAGAGTGGTCTTTGCATGGTGTGATTCCTTTGAGGAGCTTGGTGAAAGGTGTGGGTAATTTCAATTGGGAAGAACTTTTATATATGGAGGTTCCTGCCCCCTTTTGTTTGTCCTTAGAGTTGGGGTTTTGGTTGTTGCTAGAGATTTTGTGTTTGATTTAAGCTTTCTTGGCGTGTTGGGAAGATTTCTTGTGCCTTGTGGGTCTTGGTTACCTGGTAGTCAATCTATTTTGACTATGGATCTTTGATATGAACAATTTTGCCTTTTTTTTTGGATCTTGGGCACTTGGTAGCTAAGAATGGCAACGGGGCGAGTTGGGTACGGGTTTCATGATACCGTTCCCGTCCTCGCAACTCAAACCAATCCCCGTACCCACATCCGTACCGTCGGGTATATTATTTTTGTCCCATCCCCATCCC